CCATTGTTCTAATCATCCTCTGTAATATTATTGTGTTCATACTTGTCATTCGAGCTACTTTTAAAAATGCCATTGAAAGAAAAAAGCGGATGAGCAATTCCTCTCTCTCTGTATCAGAAGTACTAAAGATGTTACTGTCTTTTACTGGTATTATGATCCTCTTTGGTTTAACTTGGGTATCTGCTGCCTTCACTTTCATATCTGAGCCTAGTGTATCTTATACAGTCCAGTTTATATTTGCATTTCTTAATGCGTTTCAAGGATTTTTTATATTTGTTTTCTTTATTTTACTAAACAGTGAATATAGGAGGCAGTGGACAGCTATATTTTGTCCTTCACAAAAGAGGACCTACTCAACAACCACTCCTAAGGCACACAAGTACAATACATACATTACTACTAGTCAAGCAAATGGAGCTGCTTTAGCTATTGAAAATGCTACATTTGACAATAAAGAAGGAACAATGAACACCTCAATGTAGATTTATGAACTTCTCATAATATACACATTTTTGATATTGGTGTAATGTACAATCTATAAAATTACCTTTTACCATAGGCATATGATCTAAGCCTGGAGCATGAATTATATGGTACTGTATTCAGATTACTGTACAAGTGGAAGGTGTTTGCATAACAGTTTTATCAAGTGAATCAAACTGTGCTGAACCAGGCTTAGCTGGCCCTGCTGTACTAACCATGCTGGCCTGGTTTGTCCCAGCTCACTATAGCTCAGTTTAGTTACTGTTTACACTATCAAATGAAACTGTGCTGGCCCACTTTAAACAGGGCTGGCTCAGTTAAAGTAAATGCAGTACTAGACTATACGGCTTCAATTTCCATTTCACATTAACATGTGCTGCATCAATATTAATGCTATATTTGGCAATGAGACATACAGCTAGAGCAAGTAGTACCACAAGTGCATACACAACAGATATGTATAGTAGACAGTGACTGATATCACTATTATGCTATAGTCTGTTATTTGTTTTAGTAACCTGTAGCTATCAAAACATGTTTATTGCTATATTACAAGTACAAAAAATTCAGAATTGTGAGTGCTTAATAATCTTAGACAATTAATTATTCCCAATATAGTTGCTTCATTGGTAAAACAATACCATTATTAGCAGCATTCTTGTTACCCATTTTCCTCATCATCATTAATACAATTGTGTTCATACTTGTCATTCAAACTACTCTTAAAAATGCCACTGATAGAAAGAAGCAGATGAGCAATTCCTCTCTCTCTGTATCAGAAGTACTAAAGATGTTACTGTCTTTTACTGGTATTATGATCCTCTTTGGTTTAACTTGGATATCTGCTGCCTTCACTTTCATATCTGAGCCTAGTGTATCTCATACAGTCCAATTTATATTTGCATTTTGTAATGCACTTCAAGGATTTTTTATTTTTATATTTTTTATTTTGCTCAACAAGGAATATAGGAAACCCTGGAAGGCTCGTTTTGTTCAGTGTTTCCCTAGGACTACTATTCACAGTGACTACAAGTCTGGACCCAGTAACAAAGGCACAAAGCGGTGAAATATTTACATCATTTCAAATCATGCAACTCAAGATCTCAATGATATAAAGAAAGAAGAGATAAA